ATCTGTAAAAGCTTTGGGACAGCTCTGCTCTGTGTGTGTGCGTGTGTGTGTGTGTGTGAGGAATGCGTCTCAGTGTGATTGGGTTAAAATGAAACTCATTAAACTTCACGCGACGACATGTGACGTGAATAATTGAATCTTTGAATTAACTTCAGTCACAGAAATGAAAAAAGCAGAGAAAAAAAAAAAAAAAAAAACCTGAAGGTGCCCGTTCACGGAAGCTCCTTCTCTCGGGCTCCTGACGGCCTCGTTGCCATGGATACTGTTCGAAAACCACCAAAATAAACAACACAAACAGATTATTCACGCCACCTTGACTGGAGGGAGGTCGTCCTTCACATCCTGAAAAACCCTCAGCTGCAGTTGAATTAAACGTGTTGCGACTGTGAATTCAGCGTCGTGTGACAGGAAGGACAGAGGCAGGTCACAGAGGTCGACGTAGGTTTAACTCGTCGTCCTCCATGTTCGACGCGGACGCTGAGCGGCGTCCTGAACGAGGGGAGTCCCCTGAACAATATTATCTCTGTGACCCTTCAGATTTTGACTCGAACCCAAACTGATATTGATATTGCAAAGTTTGAATTCTGTGAGCTCCTCCCCTGAAACGCTTTGTCCGACCGAGACCTCCGGGATCACGACGTCAAATCTGACGTTTGCTTACAGTCTCAGTCAAAAACACCAAATAACAGCTGCTGCGTGTGGAGAGAAGTTGAGAATCCATCACGTCACTGTCTTCCTTGCACGCTGGAGTTTATATACACATCACTGCTGATTGGACAACACCCCTGACACACCCACCCAGAGTCAACAGACCCGGTTGACTCAGATTCAAGGACACGTTTCAACCTGCAAATGGAAGAAAAATGGTGCAGAAGGTTTTGAGATCATACGTGACCCAGGTCAAGTGAGATGTGTAACCATGTGTGTGTGTGTGTGTGTGTGTGTGTGTGTGTGTGTGTGTGTGTGTGTGTGTTCGGGAATCAAGCAAAGTGTCACAATGACTGACGGTAATTAGCTCAGCTGCATGTAGTCCACAGTTTAGTCAGTCTGGCCTCTGCTCTCTCTATCAATGTATTTGACTCTCTTCCTCTGCCTCCTCACCCTCCTCTTCCTCACCC